TTTGGAAGGCGAGCACACAATAATATGATTTTTTGTTCTTTGATGCCTGATAACTGATCTCTTCGGTACCTCGTGATCACACAGTGTGCTTCTTCCATGTGGGCTTTGTTGCTTCTGAGCTAGATGACCCCTTTCTTCTTATCCAACCGAGTGAAGACCTTACCTCCTCAGTTCCTGCCCCTCAACTTGGGGCAGGGGATCTGGCCTCATGCCCCCAGCACCCGTGAATGACTGCTCTAGAACCAAGTTGGTGAAGACCTGACGCTTGCAAGCCTAGGAGGCCAGAGGCCCACCCTTTGAGACTCAGCAGGCTTTGAGACTGGGGCAGCTCCGCTTCCCACACGCCCGGTCTTTTCATCTTTTGTTTCCTGGTTCTTTGGCAGCTCATCCCCTCAGGCCTCCTGGGCTGGCCCTCCCTGCCTTTGTCCTGCTCAGGCAAGTGTTACAAAGCTTTTTAGCTCTACTGGTAAGTGTCCCCAGGCCCCCTACTACGCCAGGAAGCCCCCTGCCTGCCAACGGTGTTCAGCTCTCTTGCTCTGTGGGTCGGCTCTCGGGCTGTCTCAAGCCAGTCTTCTGATTCTGATGCCACGATTGCTCTGCCCCTGCTTCCCGCCATCTGCACGGTCTCTGGTGTCACGGCTCTCATCACTGCCTCCCGCGCCTTCACCGGAAGTACCTGCGACCATCCTTCCACCAACCGTCTCGCCAAGGCAGGCTAGGGTTTACTGTTGGGTGCTTTGAAACTCTTCCAGCCGCTGCCTACTCCCAAACCACTTATGCTGCAGGTACCTGTTAGAGCCAAACACCGCCTTCATTTTGTGATACTGCTTTACCAAAGCACCTGTGGACGGCTTTAAGAAACAGAGACGGCAAAGCACGGTTTTCTCATGCAGAAAGAACGTGTGTTTTTTCCCCAGGAGGCACTGTGTTAGGTTCTGTGACCCGACTTTTCCAAAACTATATTCACTAGTTTGCTCCATGTGAAAGCATCCTCAGAATTCGTTTCCCTTTGAAGAGGACACGAGGCCTGATGGAAAGAGCAGTGTCAGGAAGGCTTGTTAATGGTCTAGATACTTCTCTCGAAAGAGCTAAACACACTCAAACACCCCATCTCTGCCCTGGGGGACCCCACCCCCCAAACAGGTGAGCTGGCACAGAGTTCATAAAGGACAGCCCCTCCTGCCCCTCCCTCTCGCCCTGTGACCTGCAGGCACGCCAAGTGCTGGAGCGAGAGTTCAACAACCTCTTGGCCTTGGGCACAGACCGGAAGCTGGATGAAGTGAGTGCTCTACCCTGAACTAGGGGCCTTGGGGACAGGGTGATGGTCAGATTGCTTTGTCTGGACTGGTGGTGTATGGGTGGCCTCAGGGAAGAGAGCTGGGAGAAAGAGGAGACCTGCTAGTCCCATGAAGAGTTCTAGTCTCAGAAGCCCACGGGGGCAGCACTCTCCTGCCCTGTAGGGTCACTGAGAGTTGGAATGGATTCAGGGGCAGTGAGTTTTTTTTGGTATGACCTTCAACGGGATGCGTTGGCACCGTGGCGGCAGCAGGGGGCTCAAAGGTGACAACCAGGAGGATGGCGCAGGATGGGGCAGTCGATCCTTCTGTTGTGGGGATCGACTAGACAGCACTGAGCAACGGCCACATGTCTGGGCATGCCCTGCTCCTGTCCAGCGCGGTCAGGCTCCCTTCCTTTCCAGTTGTCTTCTCCTCCCCTCCTCACCGCTGTTCCGCTCCTCCCCGCCTCCCCCCCCCCTCCTTTCCCATCACCAGCACTGGCTGCCCTTGGTTGTCAAGCCTGTCTTTGCTCACTTGGCTGCAAGCAAGTTCAAAAGAACGCAGACTGTGTATTTTTAGCTTCTCCATCCTCAGTCCGACCACTGTGTCCGATCCCCATGTTGTATGCTACTTCCATTTCCTCACACCCCTGCCCCCACTGTCACCTCTGCGAAGACATCTGGGCCTTCCTCTAAGACCCCTTGAGTGCTACCTACTGTTCCTTCATGGGCACAGAAGCACCTTTGTGGGGTGAACTGCTCTGCCTAGGTAGATGGGGCACTGTCAGTGTTTGTGGGGAGTTCCCTTCTTCACAGAGGGGCCCTGACATTTGGAGTGAGTGACATGCCAACCCCAAACCCACTGCCCACTCTTCACAATGCTGCATAGCGTTTCCAAGACTTTGCACATATTTACGGGATCAGAGAACTGCATCTTTCTCTGAGAAGACTTGCAGGTAGCAGTCCAGCACTTACCGAACAGCCCCCCAGGGCTCCAGTCAAGACATGGGGAAGCTATACATGACTAAGTGGGCACCAGTTAGCCTATGCTTACGTTGCTTATTGGGTAATGTGCCCCTGGGTGGGGCCCTACAGGGTTGTCACTGTCACACACTGCTCTCATCTGACCCCGTTAGGAGGCCTCAGCCTGAGAAACAGGTATTATTACAGTACTTCACAGTTAAAGAAACTGAAGGCCAGAGAGGCTTTACCTGGTCCAAGGTTAGGTAACTAGTAAAATGACAAAGTTGGGCCTGGAGCTGGATTTCTGACCACTCTTCCCACAAACGGGGTGCTGCCAGACTGAGGCCCCCAAAAGGCAGAAAGAGAAGGTGTACGGGGACTTGGCTGGACTCTACTTCCCAGAGGTGAGGCTGAGAGAAGGGCTAAGATTGAGGAGAGGTCAGTGGGTATATCCCCAGCCAGGCTGAGATAGACAGAGCTCACTTGTGGGGTGACAGATGCAGCCAGAGGGGATCCACACCACCTGGAGACAGGGAATTTGAGAGGCTCCGGAACCCTTGGGGACCATCCACTAGCTCCTTCAGCCTCCAGATGGAAAAGCCTAGGGCTACAAGGGGGGAGTCGCTTTGTCCCTCTTTCCAAAGAGATGGGAGCAGCACCCCCAGAACCAGCCCTGGCCGCCCTGCCACAAGGCAGGGGCCGCGGGTGACACATCCAACATGCCTCCGGTGTCCCCTCGTGCAGGGGGACGACAAGGTGTTCCGCCGCGCGCCCTCCTGGAGGAAACGGTTCCGGCCGCGGGACCACCATGGTGGCATGCTCAGCGCCTCGGCCGAGACCCTCCCCGCCGGCTTCCGCGTGTCCACGCTGGGGCCCCTGCAGCCGCCGCCGCCGCCGCCA